AGGCACCGGGACCCGCCGCCCCCGCGGGGAGCCGGGGGCTGCTCCCACCGCCCGGGGAGGGGGCACCCGGGGATGGGGCCCTGGGGCTCTGCCTCGTGCCGCTCCTCGGGGCGGTCCCGTGGAGGCTCCGGCGGGATTGGGGCTGAATCCTGTCAGCGCGGGGATGGCTCTTGCCAGGCTCCAGCGGCAGAGTTGGACCCACGGGGGGAAACAGGAGGGGCCCCCTCGGCCCAGGTGCTTGGGGGGGGGGCGGCTCCCCCCGGGGACATCTGTGTGCCGGCCCACTGTGGCGAGGTGTGTGACGCCAGAAGCGGAGCCGAGCCTCATATTTGGGCACGAAGCAGGTTATTGGAGGCCGTGGCCCTGCAGCCGGGCGATCCCCCGGCTGATAAAGGCTCCCCTGGTGCTGCCGCCTGCACCGGCTCCGGCGCTGCCGATACATCATCCCCTGCCTGCGGTGGGGGTGCGGGACGCTGGGATGGGGCCGGTTGGGGCGCTGGGGCTGCTGCTGTGCCTGCAGCTGTGTGAGGGTGAGTGGCGGGGTGGTGGGAGCGGGGACCCACCGGTGCCGGGCCCGGCTCAGGACCCTCCGTGCCGCAGGGTCCGGGCAGCTGCGGCTGGTGGGGGGCGGCGGGCGCTGTGCCGGACGCGTGGAGGTGAATCACGACGGTGAGTGGGGCTCCGTCTGCGTCTTCGACTTCGACTGGGAAGCCCGCTGGGCCACCGTGGTGTGCCGGCAGCTGGGCTGTGGCCGCGTGGCCTCGGCGTCCCTCTATGCCCCGTTCGGGCAGGGCAGCGGCCGGATCTGGCTCCAGCCCTACTTCTGCCGCGGCGCCGAGGAGGTGCTGGAGGAGTGTCCGAACTTCGGATGGGGCCAGCACTACTGCGGCCACGAGCGGGACGTGGGGGTGATCTGCACAGGTGAGGGGGACAGGCTGGCCATGCCGGGGCACCCACCTCGTGCCGGGGTGTGCCGGGCAGGGCTGAGCTGTGCCGGTGTCCCGGTGCAGAGGCCGTGGAGCTGAGGCTGGTGGGCGGCGGCGGTCCCTGCGCCGGGAGGGTGGAGGTGAAGCTGCGGGGACACTGGGGCTCAGTGGGAGATGACAACTGGGACATGGAGGATGCCGAGGTGGTGTGCCAGCAGCTGGGCTGTGGCTCGGCTGCTGGTGCCTATGCTGCCCGCGACCGCTTTGGCACTGGGTCTGGACCCATCAACCTGGTCCTGGTGGACTGCAAGGGGGACGAAGCCACGCTCTGGGACTGCGAGATCCGTGGCTGGGGACCTTATAGGAACAACCACGACTATGACACCGCCGTCATCTGCCAAGGTAGGAGCCGGGCTGGGAGGGATGCGGCACTCCTGGCACATCCCTCAGTGCCAACTCTGCACCGCTCCCGCAGGGTTTTCCCGGCTGGTTGGGGGTGACAGAGCCTGTGCCGGGCGGTTGGAGGTGCGGCAGCGCCAGGCCTGGGTTGGCGTTTGTGTGGAGCACGTGGACATGAAGGTGGCCCAGGTGGTGTGCCAGGAGTTGGGCTGCGGCGCGGCGCTGGCCATCCCCAGCAGCGGCCAGTTTGGGGCAGGAACGGGGCCGGTGTGGGAAGGGGTGTTCAACTGCACCGGCACCGAGCCCCTCCTCAGCGCCTGCGCCCGGCGGGTGCCCCACAGCCAGGGCTGCGCTGGTCACGCCACCATCATCTGCTCCTGTAAGCACCGGGGACACCGGGGGGTGTTGGGTGTCCCCCCACCATCACCCCCCTGAACGCCCTTTCTGCCACAGCCTACACGGGCTTCCGGCTGGGGAACAGCAGCTCGGGCTGTGCCGGGCGGGTGGAGGTGGCAGTGAGGGGCACGTGGGGGTCCGTCTGCGCCACCAACTGGGATCTGCCTGATGCCAACGTCCTGTGCCGCCACCTGGGCTGTGGCCACGCTGTCACCGTGCCCCCGGGAGGCTCCTTTGGCAGCGGGGACGGGCCGCTGAGGCCGGACGCCTTTGGCTGCAGCGGGAGTGAGCGGCACCCGGGCGAGTGCCCCATGGCGGTGCTGGGGGAGCCCCCCTGCACCCCGGGGAACGCCGCCGCCGTCAAGTGCTCAGGTCTGTGTGGCACCTGTGGGAAGAGCCTCCAAGGGCTTTTGGGACACCCCAAGAATTGGGAGTGGAGCACTCAGGGCTGTTTTGGCGTGAGGGGAGCACTGAGCCAGGTCATTTTACAGGCATCGTCAATTCCCTGCGGCTGGTGGAGGGTGAGAGCCGGTGTGATGGGTGGCTGGAGTTGGCCATAAGCCCTGGGGTCTGGCGCCGTGTGCCAGGAGAGGTTTTGTCTAGAGGGAATTTCAGTGTGGTGTGTGGGAAGCTGGGCTGTGGTGCGCTGGACAAGAGCGATGCTGTCGTTGGTACAGTCCCCGTGTGGACCATGAGCAATTCGGAGAAGAGTATTATGAGAAGGGTGATCCACACTCTCTTGAAGATGACCAGCATCCCCCAGGGGGTGGATGCCTTGCAGACCGGATACATACCCCAGCGAGTGACCTCTGGGCCAACCGACATCCCTCATGGGGCTGCCATCGTCTGCTCAGGTGGGTGTCCCGAGAAGGGCTGGGGTGCTGGTGCCCCGAGCAGCCCCCAGCCCGGTCCTTCCGTGCCCGCAGGCAGCCGGCGGGTGAGGCTGGCGGGCGGTGCCGGGCGCTGCGCCGGGCGCGTGGAGGTCTATGCCGGTGGCACCTGGAGCAGCGTGTGCCAGGAGCGCTGGGACCTGCAGGCGGCCGCCGTTGTGTGCCGGGAGCTGGGCTGTGGCGCGGCACTGGAGGCACCCGGCTCGGCGCGCTTCGGCCCCGGCGCGGGGACCCCGTGGCCGTACGTCGTTGAGTGCGCCGGGAGCGAGGAGTCTCTCTGGGAATGCCCACGCTCGGAACGGCGCGAGTGCGAGCGCGGGGCCGGGGCCGTCTGCTCAGGTCAGTGTCGGGTGTCCCCGGGGCGGGGAGCAGCAGAGCCCCCAGGGGGGTTCCTGGCCGTGCCGTGACCCCCCTGCTCCCCTCGCAGAGCAGCTCTCCCTGCGGCTGGCGGGCGGGCGCGGGCGCTGCAGCGGGTACCTGGAGCTGCTCCACAACGGCACCTGGGGCCGCGTGTGCGCCACCGGCACCAGCCCCGGCACCGCCGCCGCCGTCTGCCGGCAGCTGGGCTGTGGGGACGGGGGGCAGCTGGCACCCGCCCCCGCCCAGCAGCCGGCCCCCGCCTGGCTGGCCTGGGTGGGCTGCGAGGAGGGGGCCCGCTCGCTCTGGGGGTGCCCCTCGGCACCCTGGCACCTGCAGGCCTGCGGCCCCGGAGGGGACGCCTACGTGTCTTGTGTGGAGGACAGTGACAACCCCAGCGAGACAGCCACCACCCCGTGCCCGGACGGGGCCACCTGCACAGGTAGCTCTGCCCGTGCCAGCAGCCCCCCTGCCGGGCCGGCTGGGATCCCCCTCCCCTCACTGCCTGGCCGTGTCCCCACAGCCGTCCCCAGCAGCAGCGGCCCTGCGGTGGCCGGGGGGACTGTGCCGGTGCCAAGCGGGCAGGTGGCCGGGG